TTTACTAAAATTTTAAAAATTAATCCATATGACGCTTTTGATCTAAAAAATCGTGGTGCAACTTTTCGTGTATTGGGTAAATGTGAAAAATGGCTTGCAAAATTTAAAAAATTTTCCCAACCTGATTTGCATAATGAACGACTATTTAAAAGTCAACTCAGATATGAAGAAGCTCTTTTTGATTTAGATAGATCATTAGAAATTGATCCTAATAATGCTGATACATTGATGATTCGTGGTGAATTATATAGTTTAATGCAAAATTATAATGATGCGCTTGTAGATTTAAATAGATCATTAGAAATTAATCCAAACAACGCGTCTGCACTAAGAATTAGAGGCTCAATTTACCGTACGAAAAATAAAATTAATGAATCACTTGAAGATTTAAATAAATCTTTGGAAATTTTACCAAATAATCCATTGACTTTAAGATTACGTGGATCCATTTATTGTCATTTAGATGAATATGATAAATCACTTAAAGATCTTAATCGATCAATAGACATTGCTCCAAATTACGCAATTGCATTGGGTGAACGTGGAAATACTTATCGAATGATGGGTAGATATGAAGAATCAATTAATGATTTTAACAAATCATTATATATTAATCCGAATAATGGTCGTTTTTTAAGTATGCGTGGAGCTGCTTATTTCGATCTGGAAATTTATAATTTTTCTCTCAATGATTTTAACGCTGCTCTGAAAATTAAGCCAAATTCTAAATTCGCATTAACTCATCGTGCACGTATTCATCGATTAGATTGTGATTATAAAGAAGCTCTTGTAGATTTAAACAAATTGGTAATATTGGTACCAGATGATGCGGATATATGGAGAAGTCGTGGAAAAGTTTATTACCATTTAAAAAAATATGATAAATCGCTTGCTGATTTAAACAAAGCGTTAGGAATGAATCCTGAAAATACATATGCTTTATGTTATCGTGGAATGACTTATTGCGTAATGAAAAGATACGTTGAATCGCTTATGGACTTAAATAAAGCAATATATATTGAGCCAGATGAGCCCTTTTTGTTAGTCCAACGCGGTATAACTTTACGTGAAATGAAAAGATATAACGAATCTCTTATTGATTTCAATAAATCATTAAAAATTGAGCCGCATTTTGCACTTGCATTAATCAACCGCGGTGAAACTTACCGAATGATGAACAAGTTTGAAAAATCGCTTACAGATCTAAACAATTCGTTAAAACTCTATTCACTTAACTCATTCGCACTAAGGTGTCGAGGAAAGGTTTATCAAGAGTTAGGAAGATATCAAGAGTCTCTTAGAGATTTTAATATATCATTACATATTGAACCTAATGATGTATCTACCTTAAAATTCCGGGCTGAATCTTATCTTTCGGTTGGCTTGTATGATGAATCAATCGACGACTTGAGCAAATCTTTGGAAATTGATCCATATGATTCAGAGGCGTTATGTCTTCGTGGAGAATCTTATCGTAAAATTGGCAGATACAAAGAGTCTCTTGCAGATTTAAACGATTCATTAAAATTAAATCCGTATAATGTGGTTGCATTAAGAAATAGAGGTGAAACATTTCTTGTTAGTGGTTTTGAGGAAAAATCATTTTCAGATTTTAAAAGTTCTATTGAAATGGCTCCATATTAATTTTTGAGCTTGATTAAATTCATTTTGATGTGTTTGTTATTCTTATGTTTGATTCTGTATTCTTAAAATATAAATAAAATATGTGAAATTTAATTTTTTCAGAAATCAATAATACTATTCATACACGTGCTTGGTTGAGTATGACGTGATTAAAATTCCGTTCAAATTTAAATCATAGCTATAATGATCTACCTTAAATAATATAATTATACTTTTATGTCAACATCTTTCTGTTCGACTACATTTACGCATAAGTGACATAAGTGTTTCAAAAACAGAATTTACTATATATCATATTTTATAATTATCGAACATTTAATAAGCTGTTTGTGTAACATGGTATTTAACGCTAAAATTAGTTATTCACTTCTCAATTTTAATTAATCGGAAATCAAACTAACCAAGTGAGTAATGATTCAAAAAAAATAGACCGAGCATGTTCAAGATGCAACAGATTATATAAATGTTTTCACAAAATTAATGCTTCTGCTTAATCTAAAATGAATTTTTTTGCGTCGAATCTAACTTTTTTTTGATTATAGTCGATATATTTAATCCCGATTGAAGATGACGAGCTAGTCAAAAGCATTCCTTTGGCTATGCAAAGAATTTTTTATCAATTGCAAATATTAAATATTCTAGATGAATCAATGGAATTAATGAGATCTTTTGGGTGGGATCCTTGCTATGTAACATGATCTTTTAAATCATTCAGAATTTTGTCACTATAAATTGAATAACGTTTACACACGGATTGCAAAAGAAGTAACTTTTGAAACCTTTCCATCAGTATTACGTGTAAAATTAAAACGGGTCGAATATGATATGCAAAATGATACTATAGTTAAGGCGTCTATATTTTTTTTTATTACGAGTTCTAGTCTTTAATTTAGTAATTTGTTATTTGAATAATTATAGAAAAATTAATGCATTTAGAAAATTATTGTTATGAATATCCTTTGTAAGTAGATTTTACAAAGATATTTATCACAAGATAGTGATAGGCCAAAGCTATATGATTATTTATTTAATGGAATTGTAATTGTAGATTCATGTTTTCAATGATGATCAAAAAGATTCAACATTATTGCATAGACAACAAGAAAGTGCCAAGTCAATATTATATAATATATTGATATTAGTTTTGATAACAATTGATTAAAGAAATTTTTTGATGTTTACAATTTGAAATATGTTTTTTCCTGCAAAAAATGCAAATTTCCCTGAAATTTTTTTATTAATTTTAGCTATATACTTTCTAAATAAAAATGTTTTTAAAATATATTCTAATAACTTTATTAAGAAATTTTTTAAACTTATTAAAAAACTTAGGAGTAATAAAATTTTAAAGTTTTTATTTTGAACTTTTTACTAAGATTTTTCTTTAAATTTTTAAAATTTTATATGTTTTTATTATTGAAAAAGTTTTTTACTTCTAATATAAGTCTTAATTTTTACAAATAAATTATAAAGTTATAATAATAAAAGTTGTTATTATTTATTTAAACTATATTTTTAATTAAGAAACTATAGGTTTAAAATTAATATTTAAAAATTTTCAAATAATTGTAAATTATTTTTTTTAATTAAAATTTTTTAATTTTTGTATATTTTTAGCCTATAAGTTAAATTTTTATCTTGTAGTTTAAATACAAATTTTGCAAAAACATAGTTAAGTTTTATTTATCTCTAAAATTCTTTTGTAGTATTAATAAAGAAGTTGCTAATTGTTGTAAAGCATTAGATAAATTCATTATTGCATACTTTATATACAATAACTGTCGCAGATCATAATGAAATCGGATTAAAATAAACTGGGGACCTTTCTTGCTCACCTTTAAAGCTTATAAAACCTACTTATACTTTTTTATTAACAAAACTAACTCTAAACCCTAACCTTAACACTAACCCTAACCCTAAAAAATGTTCCCAAAAAATTTTAAATTTTTCTAAAAAAATAGAAAAATTTCATTTTAATCCGATTTTATTTTAATCTGCCATAATAACTGCTGTATTATGTGCTTAAAATCCGATTGGCCCTTCCAAGTATTATAAAAGTATAATCTGCTGCTTATATAGTAGATCATATTTTTATAATACTTGAGAGTTTAAATACATGATACTTTATATATTTTATGTTTTTTTCCTAATTGTTTAGATAACTCAGCTAGGATTACTAACTAATTAGAATTATCTATAAAATACAAATACTTTATTAAAATAATATATTTTTAGTTATAAAACTAGCAAATTTTTATATAAAATTAATAAAGTAATAAAAAAATTTTAAATTTATAATTATTCTAAAATAACTTGTTAAAAGTAAATTAAATGTATTTTATTTATATTACTGTTTAAATCAATTTGTCAAAATTTTATCAATTATTGGAAACTTAATCACAAGCTTTATTATTGTTAAAAAGTTTGCAAATTCATTTATATTTCATTAATTTATCATATGTTTTGTCAATTTATTATAGCTTTATCAATTGTAAAAAGCTTTATTAATTATCTAAATTTTGGTATAAAATACTATTATAATATTATTTATTGTACAAAAATAATTTTGTCAGTTATTATTAATTAAAGTTATTTTAATTCTATGTAATATAATTAAAATTTAGCAGTTCCCTGCGCTAGAGGCAGTAATTAGATACAAATTCAACAAAGTAGTTAAAGTCATGAAGTACGAAAGTAATAAAGTTAGTAATGATAGAAAAAAGAAAAAAATTGTAAAAGAATTTCTTTAATAATTAATTTAATAATTAACTAATGTAAAATCAAGAAATTAATAAAGTACGCCACCAGCTTCCCGGGTATTCTCAGGTTAAAATCAAAAAAAAAAAAAAAATTAGTAGTTGTATTTAAATTGCTTAATTTCTATTATAATAATTTTTTACAAAACTTACTTGTTATTCTTGTTACCAAGCATGTAGTTATAATTAAGTTAGCTTGTATCAGAATTATTATTATAAAAATTCTATTACTAAACATACTATTTCAATAACTATATTATGTGATTTTGAATATTCTTAAGCACTCACCTAGCCAATTATATATTAGAAAAATTAACCAAATAATTTATGAAAATTATCCAATTGTATTGAAAGTTTGCTATGCTAATTTTAGTTAAGTTTGAAGTTCTCTATAATATTGGTTAGCTAAACTAGCAAGAAGAGAAGCTGTTTTAACATTCTATATATATAGAAAACTTTCTTTAAACTTTATCTAATATTTAATATTGTTTAAATATGACACTCTTATAAATTGCCAATGTCCTCCATCTGTTAAGCATCTATAAAATATAGCAGATAATGGTTTGTCTGGTAAAAGGTTAACCTGCTATATTTTACCAATTATCCTTTTTCTTTCATTAGTTTTGAGCTATCAGTCAGGTCGTTTTTAACTTCCCAACCTAGACCTTTTATTAAATCAGGAGAATTGTTGGACAGTTTCTGATAAAATTTGCGATAACCAATTAATAGATCTGAATAAATCTTATCATCTTTCTTATGGCAATTTTCACCAAGTACAATCAGGTTATTCATTTTTAGAAATTGTATTGTTTCTTCTATTATATTTTTACAAAACAGTTAGTGCTTTTTTATTTTATTTGATTCTTTTATAGAAGCATGTGAATGTTTATTAAATACTAAAGCACCAACATGCCTATTGGGTTTAATTTCTTTTTCAATGTCCCATAAAGAAACAATATAGTTATTTCTAATATATTTGTATACAGATGAAGATTTTGTTGAATTTCCATTTTCAGAATTAAACAACAAAATCTTCAATTTTTCAACTTCATTTTCTAGAGGATCTTTATGAAATTAAAGCATAAGTCAAAATATAAAAAATACTATGTTATATTTTATAATGATCTTTTTTTAATAGTTTTCTTACTGATATTACACAGCAGCTTGACAATTATATGAATTGTTTCTTTAGAAATTTCTTTAAAAAAGGCAGTACTAATTTTTTTCAAGAATGTCAATCTTTGAATGCCCATTTCTTTATTATTCTCTAATGTCACTGCTATTTCTGTTACATTTTCTTCACCAAAAGGAATGTTTACTTTCCATAAAGTAAGGTCATTTGCCCTTATTTTATTAGAAAAATTAATTTTTCCTTCAATAATCTCCCTTAAATGCCCGACAGTTATTTCACTATCATTGACATCTACATCAATCAGAAAAGCAAAATTTGGAGGTTTCTTGTTAACAAGACACCAAAGTGTCTTGATTTTTTTGGATGATGTAAATGCTGATATCTATAAATATTAGTAAGAATGATAACACTCTATATCAAGACTGACAAATTGGTTCACAAACAAGATTATTTTACAAAATGATTAATTCACAGACAAGTTTATTCGTAGGCAACTGTCTATTAAATAAACTTCTGTAAATTAATTTGTAAAATAATCTTTTCTGAAGTAGTTGTTGACGAAATAATATGGATCAATATATCAAATACTTTATTAAAATTCTTACATTTATTTTCAGTCTTTTGTTTTTTTCTAGGATCAAAGTTTTCTTTCTTTGTTTTGAACTTCTAGTAGTAATAATAATATATATATTAAAGGTGATATTTGTAAGTAAAATCTTTTAATATAAAAGTTAGCAGATTCAAAGCAAAATTTCAAGAATTATTATCATAAGCTCAATATCCAAATTCCAGAAATGATCCTGTTATAAACAAATTATATTCCTATAACTAAAGTGTGGGCTAGTAACGTAATAGCATGGGCTTCTATAGTATAGATCAAATCTGTAAAAAATTCTATTTGGTATGATTTGTTAGCCCATATTGGACCATATATTGGCGCCTATTGGGTCGTAATAACTCTGGTTACAATAGTATTATTTTTAATAGTTTATTAGTCCAGTTGCACAATTATATAATCACGAACATTTCTTATGTATTTAATATGCTATCTATGTACCAACTTTGTTTTATGCCATTATGAACGAATGTGTAATTATATAAAGTATACGCTATTTTGACACAAACCTATACTATGTACTATACTACTTTTTTATAGGACATATTAGTTCAACAGAATTCTAATATATTAGCATTGCATAACCACAATCTATAAATTATTGAAATTGTGCAATTTTAAAATTGTCAGGATTTTGATTATTTCAAAAATAAAATTCTAGAACCGTGTAGGACTTAGCACATTCACTATTCTTGTTATAATAAGGAATATATATAGCTAACTCCTCCTTCAGAATCACAGATTCACTATTAAATTCCAAGAATTATTATCAAAACGAAACCTCAATAAAACAGTATCAGGATGTAGGTAAGATTTTCTAAGTCACATGAAAATGGCCTTTCCAATCCAGATCAGAATCACATAATCACACAATCGATTTGAACACCCAACATAATCTAATCCCAACTCTAACTTTAACATCCTGATTAAATAAATATTACAAGATAAAGTTTTTGTAAAAGCTACTAACTATATCAATTTACACTATATACTATATACAATGTAAATATTTATTTTTTATTTTATTTAATTAAAAACAATTTTGCTACAATATATACAAGACCAAAAAAACAAAAAACACAACTACAGAACCAGAAGAAAAGTAGTAGTTAAATAGAAATTAACTATATACACAAGACCAAAAAAACTAAACTACAGGATTGAAGAAAAGAAGTGGTAGTTAAATCCAATTTAACTATGTACTACAAGACCAAAAAATGAAAGAACTCAACTACAGAACTGAAGAAAAGAAGTGGTAGTTAAATCCAATTTAACTATGTACCACGAGACTGAAAGAACTCAACTACAAGACCGAAGAAAAGAAGTGGTAGTTAAATCCAATTTAACTACATATTACGAGACCAAAAGAACTTAACTACAAGACCGAAGAAAAGAAGTGGTAGTTAAATCCAATTTAACTACGTACTGTGAAACCAAAAAATGAAAGAACTAAACTACGGGGCTAAAGAAAAGAAGTGGTAGTTAAATCCAATTTAACTACATACCCAAGACCGAAAGAACTAAACTACAGGACCAAAGAAAAGAAGTAGTAGTTAAATTCAATTTAACTACATACCATAAGACCAAAAGAACTAAACTACAGGACTGAAGAAAAGAAGTGGTAGTTAAATCCAATTTAACTACATGCTGTGAGACCAAAAAACAAAAGAACTCAACTACAGGACCAAAGAAAAGAAGTTAAATCTAATTTAACTATATACCCAAAACCGAAAGAACTACAGAACTGAAGAAAAAAAGTAGTAGTTAAATCTAATTTAACTATGTACCATGAGACCAAAAAATGAAAAAACTAAACTACAGAGCCGAAGAAAAGAAGTGGTAGTTAAATCCAATTTAACTATGTACCCAAAACCAAAAGAACTAAACTACAAGACCGAAGAAAAGAAGTGCCAATTTAACTACATACTACAAGATTGAAAGAACTCAACTACAGGACTGAAGAAAAGAAGTGGTAGTTAAATCCAATTTAACTACATACCCAAGACTGAAAAAACTAAACTACAGGACCGAAAAAAAGAAGTGGTAGTTAAATCCAATTTAACTATGTATCACAAGACCGAAAGAACTCAACTACAGTACTGGAAAAAAAGAAGTGGTAGATTAACTACATACCCAAGACCAAAAGATGAAAGAGCTAAACTACAGGACCAAAGAAAAGAAGTAGTAGTTAAATACAATTTAACTACATGCTGCAAGACCAAAAAATGAAAGAACTTAACTACAGGACTAGAAGAAAAGAAGTGGTAAATTAACTATATACCCAAGACCGAAAGATGAAAAAGCTAACTACAGGACTGAAGAAAGAAGTGGTAGTTAAATACAATTTAACTAAATGCCGTGAGACCAAAAAATAAAAGAATACTAAAAAAACCAGAAGAAAAGAAGTAGTAGTTAAATACAGGACTGGAAGTAAAAAAGTGGTAGCGAAAGATCGAAAGCTACAAAAGTAAAAAGAGATCAAAGATATAAATAGATAAAATTTTAAAAAAAAAAAGATAACATATGTATATGATCATTACTAAAACAAGCTTACAAACAAAAAAATATAAATAGATAATGCAGTAATGACAATCAAAATTTGAAATAAATAAAAATGTAAATCTGGGATAGGGTCAGAGAGTCGGATCACATGTGATCTGGAAAATCTTACCTACATTCTGGATCTGTCCCTCAATAAAGAGCTCCATAGCAACATGTGCATATCCTAAAGGTGAATTATTTATAGTCCATATGTTATTCTTTCTCGAGTACAAAAATGCAGGGCTTAGCACATTCACTATTCTTATTATTATAAGGAATGTATATAGCTAATTACTCCTCTAGAATTAGTGGATTCAAATAATAACTATTAAATAAATTGACAAACAATAAAAAATATAATTGGCTAGTTTGATTAAACTGATAAATCAGATTTATTATTGAATCCATTGAGGTAGGTGCTTAAGAATATCTTTAGTTAGTTTGTATTGAATTATAAGTTAATAATAAATTTTGTCATAAAACTTATACTCTAATATATATATATTATTTAATATTGTTTTAAAATTATTATAATTTCTACTAAAAGTTTTTACAAAACTTACTTAATATCTTGATAATTATAATTTATAGTCAAGAAATTGTGTTAGCTTGTATTGAAAATTATAAATTTATATGATTAAGTTTGAGTTAGTTGCATTAAAATTATGACTATAAAAGTACTGTTATAAAACTCATCTGCTAGTTTAATAACCATAATACATAATTAAATTAAGCTAGTTTGTAATGGAATTATTATAGTTTCTATGTGGTTAATACTGAGTTAGGCCATTCTCAAGTATCTAAATCAATTAATTAAAGAATTATCATAATGATGCTCAAGTATTACAATTAATGATAATATTTATAGAATTAAATATTTAAGTATACTCTTTTTTTATTTTTATGATCTTTGTTATTTGCTTAAAACTTTTAAAAAATTCAATAAAAAAAATTCTGTTCAACTAACTGCTGAATTTTCATTTTTGGTTATGTTAGCATCACCTTTTAATAATTTTACCAATATTAGCCTTTTGTTGCAATAGCAACAACTCATAGAATTATTAGCAAAAGTTGCTTTACAGTAACAATAAGTAAAAAAATTTATTAAATTTATATAAGCAAAAAAAGAAATAGCAATATTTATTATAGTTTGGTTAAATATTAAAAATAGGTTGTAATTACATTTATATCAAAGTATTAATTATTTGTTTTAAAAGCTTTGAGCATTAAAAATAATGTGGCTATTTTTTAAAGTAGTTGGAAATTTTTGGAAATTTTGTTGTAAATTTATTTATTTTATTTTTTTTTTGGTGTTAAGGTGAGGCCTTGCTCATATCTTTATTAGGTAATTTATATAAGTAATTACATAGAAA